TATATATATACATATATATATATATATATATATATATATATATATATATATAAATTTTGTCTCACACCACCAGTTCCTCCAGAAGTGTTTTTAAAGGCACCTAAAGAAAAGCATTGTTATGTGAATCATTTGTTCTCTTTTAGGTAAAGAAAGCTTTCTTTGCCTTGGTTGCTAATGGAGTTCGAGCTGCGCCATTATGGGAAACCAAAAAGCAAAGCTTTGTGGGTAAGCAATGACACGTGCACACACACTCATACACATGCTCTCACCTGCATTTCAGTCATTCTTTTCACTGGAGTTGTCTTTTATAGGTCATATAGGACATTATTTGTTCACTTGTAACATAATTGGACATGCTTCGGTTAGCTTGCTAACAATAACATGTACCAAATTGGTTGAAATTCATTGCTGCCTGTTTCCTGTCTGAATTGTTTTGAATTGTAGATATTGATAAACTGACCTAGATGGAATCTGCTGATGTTTTTCTAATTTTCTGTGCTGATATTTTACACGAAAGCATGAAAGAAAATGTTAACATGGTCAAATGTGTTAAATGATCTGAGAGCTCTTGTTGGTAAATGAACAGCAATGTATTATAGCAAATGCACAAAGGACATTGGATGCATATTCTGCAAAATCTGCGTGCACTGTTTCTCTGTGAGCCTAGATATGAGTCATATCTAATGATATGTTTTCTCAATAGGAATGTTAACCATCACAGACTTCATCATCATCCTGCACAGATACTACAAATCGCCGCTGGTAAGGATTCAGACATCACAGAAACTCAAATACAACCAAAGTTTTGCTGGTCAGTGTCATTTTGCTCAGTGCTGGTTTGTGGTTAATGGCTGTTCATGTGGGTTTGGCCGGAAATTACCTTCAAAAGTGGCTTCAAAAATTATTTTCAGCTTGTAGACCTTGCATGTAATCACTTAATGAATGTTCACCAAAGAGGAAGGATATTTGTCCATTTTAAAATTGTAAGTAATTTTTTGTGTTATATGCCTCAGGTGCAAATATACGAGCTGGAGGAGCATAAGATTGAGACCTGGAGAGGTAAATATTTTCAGCGTTTTCACTTCATCGCTGCTTACACTAATTTGCATTTATATAGATTTGTAATTATTCACTGAACACATTTTTGTACACCCAATGGGCCTCATTCATGAAACACGAGCAGAACGAATTTTTGTGTAAATCGTTCGTAAAGCCGTTCTGACGTAAACTTTCGAATTCATGAAAATGTTCGTATTTTCAAAATGTTAGTTGGTAGGAAAGAAATGTACACCTGCTCCACGTGTAAATGGTGCGTAAAACGATCTTCTGTGTTCAATTTGGCAAACTGATGACACTGAATTTGATGCACTGCCATTATAATATTTTACAAGTTTGTTTGCTCCGTTTTTTTTTTTTTTTTTTTTTTTAGCTGAGAATTGATAAACTGTTTAGCTTTGGGTAAAACGCAGCACTTGTCACTCTCACTTTTTACCCAGCCGTCCAATCAATGGAGGAGGGGCGGGACAAATCCTACACCAACCAATCATCCTACTTGTACAACAACTGAACAACAATAGAGAAGTTAATATTGCTGGTTACTGCATTTGTATATTCAGTAATATTCTGCAAAATGAGATACTAGTAATACGTGGATATTTCAAATCATAGCAACCAAAGCGTCTCTCAGCTAGAAAAACGCTGTGCCACCAAAGCGTTCTCTAGCACCACCAGCTGGCCATTTTAAGCTAGCTAAAAACGCTTTTGTGGACACACGTTATTGAATATTTATTGTTAGGCATTTGGCCTATTAGTGTTTTTTGCATTTATGCAATATACTATAGCCAAACCTGAGAAAGTAGACCAGAATATTACACTGCATTCCTGGACACGCAATTTACGTAGCTGTAATTCATAGGCGGGGATTATGCTAATTGTGCCTATTTACGAATAATTGGAATTCATTAACATACACAGGTTTAACTATCAAATCTGATGAGTAATAAGTGCTTGTGAATTCGGAGGCGAGTTTTCGGGAAGGTCTGTTTTACGCGCAAATTACTCAGACTCCTATATTTAGGAATGTTTCATGAACGAGGCCCAATATGCGGATATATATTTACGCACACCCATGTCTGGAATTTTCTGCTTTTATATTCCATGGAAAAAAGTAAAAATTTGGAAAGAAATTAGTAAATAATGGCAGACGTTTCATTTAAAGTGCTTTGACCCTTTTTGATTTCTGCTTATACCAACAGAACTTTACTTGCAAGAAACGTTTAAACCCTTAGTCAACATATCTCCAGATGCAAGGTGAGACTTTAGGTCATATTTTTGTAGACTGTGTTTTATCATTTTCATTGCATGATGCTTAATCCTCTCTTTGGTTTATAAGAACATTATCTCGAAATTATTTTGAAACAAATTGAGCAATTAATTCAGATTCACATTTGTGACATTATCTGCTCAGCAGAGCTACAAATGTTTGGTTTCTTGTAACTCTTTGCTATTTTTTTCCAGTATATTTGATGCTGTTTACTCACTCATCAAAAATAAGATCCATCGTTTGCCAGTGATCGATCCAGTCACAGGAAACGCCCTCTATATCCTCACACACAAGAGAATTCTCAAGTTTCTGCAGCTCTTTGTGAGTATATCGCTTCCTTTTAGCTTACTGATCTTTTATACTATCATACTTTTAGAAATGGTAGTTGTTGTGAACAAAACAAACTAGTGAAAGGTTTCAGAAGAGTAATAATCATCCTGAGTTATGTAGTGTCATGTGCACAGTGATGGTTTTTGGTCTTGTAGGTGTGTGAGATGCCTAAACCAGCCTTCATGAGGCAGACTCTGGAGGAGCTGGGCATCGGCACATATAGCAACATTGCTTTCATTCACCCAGATACACCCATTATTAAAGCACTGGGCATGTTTGTGGAGAGGAGAGTGTCTGCCCTGCCAGTGGTGGATGTTACAGGTAGCTACACATATTGCTAACCTTGCTGTCAGTTCATATACTTCAATTATTCTCCTGTCAAGCCCTTTTTAGGAACAAAATTTCATTGTACATGTCTTTCTAAGTCAAATTTCTCATATGTGCTTTCCATATTTTTCCTCCCCAAGGAAAGGTTGTAGACATTTACTCCAAATTTGATGTCATTGTAAGTTGTTCCTTTAATATACTATTTCAAGTTAAAGAATACCTTCACAGCTTTTTATCACACATTTGTTGTGAGGTGTAAATATATAAGGTTCCCATGGAGATTGAAATTGTGTTTTCCATGGTCATGATCATGGACATTAGTAAAATATTTCTACAGTGAATATTTTTTTTAGTTCTCTATTCTGAAATATCTCATCAGTTAGATTTTGCACTTTGAGTGCTTGTGTCTGCGTTTTCTAATTTATACACAAATACACTACCATTCAAAAGTTCAGGGTCAGTAAGTTTTTTTTTAAGTTTTTTTATTGAAATCTCTTCTGCTCACCAAGTCTGCATTTATTTGATCAAAAATACAGCAATAACAGCAATATTGTGAAATAGTTTTACAATCTAATATAACTGTTTTCTATTTGAATATATTTTAAAATGTAATTCATTCCTGTGATGCAAAGCTGAATTTTCAGCATCAGTCTCCAGTCTTCAGTGTCACATGATCTTCAGAAATCATTCTAATATGCTGATTTCCTGCTCAACAAACATTTCTTCTTATTATAGTCAATGTTGAAAACAGTTATGTTGCCTAATATTTTTGTGGCTGCATCCGTGACACATTTTTTCAGGATTCTTTGATGAATAAAAAGTTCAAGAGAAGAAATCTTTTGTAATATAGAATGTTTTTACTCTCACTTTTGATCAATTTAATGAGTCCATACTGAATTAAAGTATTCATTTCTTTATTAAATAAAATAAACAACTTACTGACCCCAAACGTTTAAATAGTAGTTATTGGACCTTATTCATGAAACACTTGTAAATAGTTTATAAATGCATTCATATGTCCCTTCAAATCCTTTTGTATCCATTGAATTAAATGTATCAACTTATTCTTGTCATGAATAAGACCCACTGCAACTATGTTCAGACAAACTGGATCAAATATGTAAGTGTCATGCAATAAGCATCACATGCAAAACTCATCATTTGTCTTTAAATGTTTATTAATAGGATTAATTATAAATGGCCTGTGTTATGATGACTAGTGATGATTAGTTGTGCCGTGTATATTTTGGCTGACTCTGGAGGTTGCTGTAGCGTGGCTCTGTTCATTAGTGTTGTGGGTGTGTGTAGAACCTGGCAGCTGAGAAGACCTACAATAACCTGGACATCACCGTGACTCAGGCTCTGCTGCATCGCTCACAGTACTTCGAGGGCGTTATGAAGTGTTATCGACACGAGACCCTGGATACTATAGTGGACAGGATCGTCAAAGCTGAGGTGAGATTTACTCACAGCAGTTTACATTGAGCAAACGCCACCGACAGGAATTACATCGATAACACAGCCACTAGAAGTCCCACCCTAAACAGACAATTTAGACACTTAATTTTTACATATTGAAGAATTGGTCACACTTTATTTTAAGGTCCAATTCTCACTATTAACTAACTATTTACTATGACCTCAATAAATTCTTATAATTGCTGCTTATTATTAGTTAGTTTCAATTCAGTTACACTTTATTGTTGGAATCTCTTCAAAAATTGTTGCATCTCACAGCACAACAGTACAATAGATAGACACAACTTAATACAAAAACAACAACAATATTAATACATAAAAGTGTAGTGTTTTCTATTTTTCAGAGTCTAGAGGCCTACTTAGACCCCCAATTCTGATTTATTAATTTTACAGACTGATGAAGGATTTATGTAATCTGTTCAATCTGGCATATGCAACTCTAAGCCTTCTGTTTGATGGCAAATGAATATTTAGTTGTTAAGGTAGTTGTTAAGTTTAGGTATGGGGTGGATTAAGGGATCTAAAATATGGTCATGCACAATAAGACATTAATATGTGCTTTATAAGTACTAATAAACAGCCAATATGCTAGTAATATGCATGCTAGTTAATAGTGAGAATTGGGCCTTAAAATAAAGTGTTACTTAAGAATTATTTAAGTACTTTACCAACATTTCTGCTTTTAAACCCTGCAGTACACTTTAAATCATTTTTTGTTTCTTTTTCACGATTCAGTAGTATTTTCTGTTGTAATCGACAGTATGCCGCAGATAGACAGTACAATGCAAAATATTTAGTAAAATACTCCATTAAATGCACAAAGCTCAAAGATCAATATGAAATGATTTTCAGTTCAGTGATTTTGACTGCTCAAAGTCCATTCACAAAGAACATGTTTTTACCTTCAATTGCGCTGCTTTTCAATCTGTTTGTGTGTGTGTGTGTGTGTGTGTGTGTGTGTGTGTGTCCTGCAGGTGCACAGGCTGGTAGTGGTGGATGATAACTCCAGCATCGAGGGCATCATCTCTCTTTCTGACATCCTGCAGGCGCTGGTTCTCACCCCCGCAGGTATAGACGCACAGAATTCCTAAATCAACCCTCCATTTCACTTTCCTTCTCCCTCTCCACTCTTCCCCGGACCCAATCTCCTCTCCCTGGACATCCAGCACTCGAGTGTCCCTCTCTGACCCCCTGAGCACAGGTACGGTCACACAGGCTGGATTCTGATCGGCTCATTATGATTGTGCTGAATGAAGCTGGATGTAGGTGTGTATTCCAGTAATGCATATCATGATGGCATCATTGCAAGTGTTTGATTGGTACTGATAACACAGACAGCTCATACATTACTGCAAGTTGACCTGACAGACTGTCAATGGCAAAAAAATCAATATGAGACCGAAATAGCTGTCTGGTTGAATAGTGATTGAAATACAGCATGTGCTCTCAGCGCCCTTTATGAAGCCTGCTGGGAAAAACTGCATGAAACACGCCGCATCTCCCACGTGCTGCTCAGCATGCTGTCCTTAATGTCTCGAGCTGCTATAAGCAACACTCTTGTGAAGGCAAAAATAAGAAATGTCTTTTAATGTTTTTGTAACAGGCATTCCACGGTCGGAAATATTTTTGGCAAAAACTTGGAAAGGGAGTTTTTAAGAATTGTGATTCCCAGGCCAGGAGAGGTTATGGAAATCATATGTCAAGGAAATGAAAATCTTAATAAAATATTTAAAAGCCACAGAAAATCATAGAAATTAAAAAATCTTGAAGTCACCAAAAAGTCATGCAAATTATAATAAGTCACTGAAAATTCATGGAAATTAATACAACTGTAAAAAAAAATCACAGGAAAGTCTTGAAAACCAGTACTAATGGAAGAAGTCACAGAAAATTCATGCAAATTAATAAAATTGTAAAAAGTCATGGAAAGTCATGGTGATGAATACAATCACGAAAATCGTCAAAAGTCACCAAAGATTCATGGTAATTAAGTAAAATTGTAAAAAGTAACAGGAAAGTCCTGGAAATCAATACTTGGGTAAATAGTCACAGAGAATTCATGAAAATAATTACAATTATAAAAAAATGACAGGAAAGTCCTGGAAATCAATACTATCGTAAAAAGCTGCAGAAATATTATGGAAATAAACACAATTGAAAAAAGTCAAGGACATTAATAAACTCTTAAGTCATAGGTCAGTCATGCACTGCAAAAATGCTTTTCTTTCTTTGCTTTTGTTTTTTTTGTCTTGTTTTCAGCCAAAATATCGAAAAATTCTTAAATCAAGAAGCATTTTCTAGACAAGTACAAATTGTTGTCTTGTTTTCAGAAAAAACAAGTCAAATTTAAGTGTTTTTGCTTAGAACAAGCAAAATAATCTGCCAGTGGGGTAAGCAAAATAATCTTCAAACCGAAAACAATATTATTTTGCTTACCCCATTGGCAGATTATTTTGCTTGTTCTAAGCAAAAACTCACTTAATTTTGACTTGTTTTTTCGTAATTTTGACTTGTCTAGAAAATGCTTCTTGATTTAAGAATTTTTAGATTATACTTATGGAAACAAGACAAAAAATCGTAAGTAAGAAAAGCTTTTTTTGCCATGAAATGTATTATTGAATGTACATTTTTCTAGTTTCCTTCAGCTCTAAAATATTTAATTGGGATTAAAATGAGCTAATTCACTAAAATTCTAAACCAAATATTTTCCTGTAATTATGAAAAATTTAAATTACATCCGTTATTTTTTTTATACATCCGTATAAAAAAATAATTTGTAGAAACCCTGTTGTAACCAGTTCATTTGTGTTCTGCTTAGTGATTTGTCTGCACTTACAGATTTGTTGTGGAGAGGTTCAACATCCGAGTCTCTTTTTAAAACTCTTCCTGTGATTTTGTCAAAAAAAGTGTGTGGTATTAAACGAGCGCTGATTGACAGATTTGCTTCATGAACTGAATTTCACATCATTTGGCCCACAGGAGGACGCAGGAGGGACAGTGTGACCGAATGACAAGACAATATTTTGGAGGTAAAACAGAAACACAAGAAATTCAGAGAACCAAAAAGGTCCCATCGGCATTCCTGACGGGATACGGAGAAGAGGACAGCTGGACGTTTTTGGGGGAATTGTGCGGGGCTGAATGAAACTGTGTGAATCTGCAGCTGAAGGAACGGACATGCGATCATAACGCACGTGGTGTTGGACATGTTTATGGTGGGCCAGCTGTGAGAATCTGCCGCTATACTGTACACTGCTTTAGATGCTGGGCATGTTTGTCTGCTGGTCTGACAGCACTAAATCAGGCACAGGTAGGAAGTCTCCTTTTGTGTTCTAGCTGGGTCTGCATTATATCATCAGGCACTGTAATCCACTCTTGGGTGAGCGTCTGAAGTGGAAATTTGAGAGTTGATTGTAGAGGTTAGCAGAGATCCAAAGATGTGCTTGTAGTGCAAAAGCAGGTTCTTGATTCTTCAGCAATAAGTTGCTGTCGGTTCCAAGAACCTGCTGGACTCTGTAGACATCTGACCTTTTTTTTTCTCACTTTCTTGAAAATTCTTCGAAGTCGCATTTCATCCCAAACTGAAAAGAAAAAATATATGACAGAAAATGGAGCATAAAACAAAATAATGTGATTATTTGTTATTATTTAATGACAATTAATCACACTTCCCTGCAGTTTTTATTATTGCAATACAAAAACATAATTATTTATTATTATTATTTATATATTATAGAAACAATAAAACATGTATATATTAAAGTATTTGTTCTATTACCTGTAATTTACGCAGAATTAAAAAAAAGAAAAAGAATAAATAATGACCAACTAATGAGAATCACTTCTGAAAATAACTACATTAATAATTTAATATTACATAGTTGTCATGAAAATAATGTTGTAATTATTTTCAGAAGTGATTCTCATTATTTGATCTTTTTTTTTTTTTTTTACTATCATTCTTTTTCTGCTTAAATTACAGGTAATAGAACAAATAATATAATATATACGTGTCTTATTAATAAATAAACAGCTAAATACAGATAATGATGAATGATGTTTTGTATTGCAATATCTAAAATTGCAGGGAAATGTGCTTACTTGTCATGAAAATAATGTAACAAGCAAAAAACAAATCTACGGGGTAATATATATGATATGACCCAGACACATTCTTGACAAGTTTAATGAGATTTATCCGAATATTATTGATTTTTCCTGTTAACACTGGGCTATTAATCCAAAATGTCTACTGAATATGAATTGTTTCTTCATCCTATTAGTTGTCAGTGGAAAAATGAATGTACTACCACACTGCATACGCACTGACGGTCATGGACTGTATTTTTACTGGAACAAAGAATGTTATGAAAAGTGACTATATATACAGAGCCTTATTTTTCTATTATGACTGTCTGTAGTGTTTGGCTGTGTGGGAAAGCCGTGTGCACTTACCTGTCTTGTGCATTAAAAGAGCATGAATGTCAAAGCTTGCAGTTGCAAAAATGGCCACGCATCTTTGCACCCCAGTGATATGCTGAGCTACTGTAAATACAACATGCCATGTAATGGGTTCATAACTGATAAATCATGTATTGTTTGATTGCATTTTTTCATTGTAACCGCTGTCGGTGAAAGTTAAAACCGTTAGTTCTGGAGAGAAAGAAATGTACATTTTTGTACACGGAAATGACACTATATTTTATTTTTTATGTGGTTGAGCTAAAATATATTGATAATGCATTCATATTTGTCTGAGATTTGTTTCGTTGTGTACACCTTCCTGTCACTATGTTTGAAGCTACCATATGGCTAAATTTGGTGGCTTGTTTTTGAACACAGGAGAGCATCACTTTAAATTAGGGTAGGCCTACTTAAAAATAACAAGGAGATATAAATTTAATTGTAGTTATTACATTTTATTCTATCTGTATTTTTCAGCGACTCTTTCTGCACACTACGTTGTTACGTCTGTAGGTGGCGACAAGTGAGCGTCTGTCAGTGAATCATTCACTCAACCGATTCGTTCAAAAACAATGACTCATTCAAGGACCAAACATCACTACTGTGTATTGCTTTGGACAGATTAATTCTGCTCTGGCCGGATGTCTATAAAATGTAAGATGCTCAATATTACTATTGAACTGTTTTTTTTTATCAGCAATATCACTAACAATTGCGTTTTTATTCATATGCCAGATACGCTGCTGTTACGTAAAACTGCGACTTGACGAAAAGACAGTAAAGAATAGAAACCGTTTTTCTTGCTCTGTATTCTTGTATTTTATTTAGTTTGATAAACACCATAGCAAATGCAAATCTGAACGGCTGTATGAAAACAAGTGGATACTAGGCTACGTTTCCTCTCCGTGATATGAATGGCGAAACGCCCCATGAAGCATGATATGCTCGCTGATGCTGTTAATTTGAGTGTTAGTAATCTTACAGTTTATATTTGACACAGCAGTGGACAGTATTTTGTTTTTTTTTTGGGATGTCCACTAGGGGACACTGTCCTCAGCTGTTTGACCTTCTCATGCCACAGTCTCTAATCACATATGTAAAGTTATTATTAGAGAATGATGAATATTTCATTTAGTAGTTTGTTAGCTTAATACATTAATTTAAATCTTTAAGCGCTTTAAGAAATATCTGCTTTTTTAAGCCTAAAAAAGTGGTTCTCAATTTTTTTTCTCAGCTGTGTTTTGGACATTGAGTAGTGAACCAGCACCAAACACAGTGGCTTACAAAGAAACAAAATGTGCACATATGAATACATGTCAGTCTTTACTATATGACCGCAAACTGCAGGCCCAACAATATGCAGAGTTATTAATATGACATGAATCTCAATGGTTCTGTGCTCTCAGCAGCCTGTAATTCACTTTGCAAAACAATCAGCACAAACCATGTTTATATCCCGGCTGCAAGTGAACCTGTATTTAATGTAGTCTGGCTTGTATTTTTATTTTATTTTTACTAGGTTTTCATTGTTTCATATCACGCAAACCATGTTTGTGATCTACCTATAATTTGGCAAGTGCCAAAACTGTTTAAATGCAGTTTAGAGCAAATGCACAATGATTGGTCAGTACATTTATATTTATATTAAGCATTTGGCAGAGAGTTTTATCAACAGAACCTTTTTTTTTTTATTAGATTCTCTGGGAATCAAACCTATGACCTTGACGTTGCTAGCACAGTGCTCTCTGAGTTGCAGGAACAATACCCGATATATAAAGTTGTAATATTCCATGATAGTAACAGTTATGACCTGTTCACCATATGATTATTACCTGATTTTCTAGAGGCACAATGCCACTTTCGCATAATAAAATACTAATTTACATAATAACATTTTAATGAAATTGTGTGACCTTAAAGTGGATAATTAACCCCCCCCAAAATAATCATACATATAATTTACTCACCCATATTTTGAATATTAGAATGTTTCAATTGGTTTTGAACATAAAGTGAAAGTCAATGGGGTCCAAAACAATATTGGACCTTGGATAATTGATAATATTAGATAATACTGGTAACACTTTATTTTAAGGACCAATTCTAACTAGCTGCATATTAGCATGCATATGATATTACGAGCATGGTTATTAGTACTTATAAAGCACATATTTTGGATCCCTTAATCCACCCCATACCTAAACTTATATTAATAAGCAGCAACTTAGGAGTTTATTGAGGGAAAACTCTTAATTAATAGTGAATATATATTCCCTGTTATAGTGTTACCATAATATTTATATTAATACTCAAAAAATAAACCCTAAAAAAACTAAATTTGTTTTCAGAGAATATATCTTGAATTAAGAATGGAATCGAATTTTTTTAGTGCTGTCAAACGATTAATCGCGATTAATCGCATCCAAAATAAAAGTTTTTGTTTATGTAATATATGTGCGTGTACTGTGTGTATATTATGATGTATATATAAATACACACACATGCATGTATATATTTCAGAGAAATATGTTATTTTTATATATTAAATGTATTTATTTATAATATAAATTATATGCATATAAATATAGACAGGTAAATACATGTAAATATTTTCAAAACATATACTGTATGTTTGTGTATTTATATATACATAATAACTAATATACACAGAACACACATATATTATGCAAACAAAAACTTTTATTTTGGATGCGATTAATCGTTTGACAGCACTAATTTTTTTTAAACGTAACCTTTATTAAATTTTGACAGATGTTTACAGAAAATCTTATTAATCTAGTTTTGCCTCTCCAGTGAATTTAACGTGTTTTAATTATTTTTAATTTATTAATTTAATTAACTTAATTTATTTAGAAGATCCAAAAAATTATGAAAATGTTTTGCAGTAAAGTTTTTAAAAATCTAAGTGTATATACCCAAGACAATCACTTTCACTGAGCGGACAAAAGAAAATATTTTCTATATTTAATAATATTTTTTATTTATATTTTATAATTTCTATTCATATTTAATTACATTAATATTAATACTTACAATGGTTATATTAAAATTAATACTTATACTGTAAATATAGTCTCTGCTAAAGGGAATAGTGCACAGTAGTTAGTTTCAGTCTTTTATTTGCATTTAGTATTGATATCCCCTGCTGTCTGCGACCTTCCCAGACCTGCAACATAACAACCCGATCTCATGAAAGTGCGTATAAGGGCGTTTCTTCAACTAGGTGCACTTTTATCCTTGTGAAGTTGAATAAAAAAAACTTGTTCAAAAGTCACGTAACACAGTCTCATAAGTTTAAATAATTTGTCTAGTTTTAAGGTCTGTAAGAGGACAAACTTAGATTTCCAACCTGCAATGAACGAATGTCATTTCCACCACATCTCAATATTGACAATGAATTAACGTGAATGTAGAGATATTTATTAGAACAATTCTTAAACTCAACACACTCATTAAACTCAATTCACAAAGACATTAAACATAACCACACCTGTTTTTAGTGTAGTGCTGAGTTTGTTGTATAAAACTGATTTGTCTCAAAGATTAACGGTTACAGTGCATACTGTAAATAACTGACACGACTGATGGCAAGGCAAAAATATAAGCAATAAATGAT